TCGGCTCAACCATGACCATTACACACCACTACCTAAATCACACCCCCCTTGCAGGGCACTTGAGCAAGATCCGCCTTCACTGATTCTGCATACGGTACTTCTAGATACTTATAGCAGGTCATCAAGGCCAAACAAACACATGGAGAACCTCCTATAGGCTGTACCCTGAGCCCCTCCGGGATTTTCAAGCGTCGACACACATCCGCCGGCCTCAACACCGGGCTTTGAGCCCACTGGCAAGCAGCGTCCTCGTGCCAGCGCAGCACTTGCGCGGCTTGCGCGGTTCGCTTTGCTCTTTTTGGTCCGGGTGTGAAGGGCGACCTCCTCGAGACAAAAAGCCGAACTGGACTTCATGGGTGCCGGACTGACCTCCCTCAATGGACCTATCCTCAAACACGCTACATAGTTGTTGCGAAACCTGTTTCTGGCAGAACTTGCTAACTTGCTATGTTGGAATGATGTGGAATGATGCTATCTTATATGCCAGTATATGTCTGGCTATTGTGGGTCTTGCTGCTTCCTGGCATCACCTTGCTTTTCGCCCCCCTCCTGAAAGCCGGTCAAAAGACGTAGCCGCTCCAATAAAGAGGAGGCCCTTTTGGGATCCTTCTCGAAGGCAAACATACCTCGAAAGGAGACAACTAAGGCATGCAAGGCGGTGTTTTTGAATGTTTTGAAGTATATAAACAATCATATATTATATAGATCTATGTATATATAATGTATATATATATATTATTACAGTATTATTACTATTCCTAGAACCTGGTCGTGACCTCTAATATGGCCTTTTGATATGAAAACAGGGCTCAAGAAGGGGCTCACAGTACGTCACGCATCACCGTTCCGTTATCGATACTGCTGGAGGAAAGGATAATTATGCCCCTCATACGGACCCTCATCAATGCACTCTGTCAAGAAAGGCAGGCTGTGGAAGCTTGGCATGGTAAATTTCGAAACCTCCGAGGACTTCTGGAAGCCCACCACATGCCAATTACCCCTGCCAATTCCCACCCGCACTACGATCATCCACCATCTCAACATGGGTAAACATAGGACACCAGTACATGCGCATCCGCTGCGCGGTGTGACGGGCGCTGCGCATTCGCTGCGTGCAGGTGGCGGCCGCTGCCCTCAAGCAGGTCGATGGCATGCGAGGTTTTGCTCCCCGGTGCTGCGCAGGAGTCCACGACCGTGGTCCCTGACGGTCGTGGGAAGAACCCGGGAAGAGACTCACATGGAATCGGGCTTGGCATGGACCAGACTGGAAGACGATTTTCCTCTACAAAGCAGTGGTTTTCAGGTTCCATGTTAATCTTCCAGAGTGTACCTGGGTTCAGCTTGTGTTGCACCTGCCCTTTTTCGCCATATTGCCCTGTCTAAGGCCCGCCCTGGTCCCACAAAGAAAGACATCATCAAAATAGCTTTGCACAATAACACCGTTTTTCCTGAGCTCCAGATATGCTCCACACGCCTGGCGTCAAGCCAGCGGCCAAGGCGGATAAACAGCTGGAGCGATCCTGCAGTACGAGTTGACCACTGAGGACCTCTGGGAGGTTCTGAAGCCATGCGCGAGAGCTTGGGTGAAGTACCAGCACGTTGGGCACCACCTCATCTTCCTGAAGGATTTGTGGAAGGATGGCAAATGGTTCTGGCTCTGGGGGGATGTTGTTGGGGTGTCTGAATAACTGGCTCAAATTAATCAAAACGTTCCATCTAACCGGCACCAGCTCTGTAGGGGCTATGGCGTGACCAATGTTCACAGTGAGTCATCCACCTTGTTGGTAGTGTCAAGGTGAGAACCAATGGGACCCGGAAACGTTGTGTTACGTTTGTTTGGCTCACCAGTCCTTCACCTCAGCCACTTCAGGCTCCACCTCCTTCCCCTCTTGCAGCTCTTGAGCCCTCTTCTCCTTCAAGGCCTTCCTCAACTGCTTCAGCACCGCCTTCTTCCCCGTCTTCCCCATCTTCACGCCGTTCACCCGCACGTAGCGCGGCAGCGCCGCCCAGCCCACCTCGCTCGCGCCTCCGGCGCCAGCGCTCGGCGGGTCCCTCGACGCCCAGGCGCGGCGGAGGCGGAGCGCGGCGGCATCGAAGCGGCGACGGAGTTGGCCGCCACCGCGCAGGCCTTGGCCCAAGAGGAGATCGAAGGCCATGACCAGGAAGAGGCCACTGGTCTCTAAGCGTGCCTGGCAGCGGTCTTGGCCAGTCACTTCCTTGTTTGTTTGGAAGAGGACACGTAAGCAGTGATTGGCAAAGTATATACAGCAATCATAACCCTTACGGGTGGATCCAAGATACTACAGCACCACCAATACCAGGACCTTCGAAAAGGTGGTTTTTGGCCACCTCTTAACCTCTAAGAGGCTATTTATAGACACCTCTTGGAAGGTCCTGGTAATGGAGCAAAGTTACAACAGTAGGCGCCTTTTGGAAGCCCTGCCATCATGACAGCATGGCAGGCTGCAAGCCACGTAGTACTTGGTTGACCGCCCAATGTCAGCAAGGTTGTACTCCTACGACTCCTACCCACCTTTATACAATTACTCGTGCAGCTTTTGAGGAACCAAAGGCTTACGAAGCAAACCACGCCTCAGCCAGGACCTTTGTCAAAGCCTCGCTGTGCGCTAGAGTTGAAGCGGACAACTTGCAAATGGCCCGAGGGTCCTCGAACTATAAACTGAGAATGTTGCAACATTTGGGGTGAATTTGTGGATGTTGGGCCAGTCGGACGCAACATGGGAAACGACTCGAATAAAGTCACGTTAGACCCCACAAGAAGGCTTGAGAGTTCCTTGCCAAGGGAAATGTTCACACAATTGTGTACATTACACTATATAGTATCACAGAATATCGAACAACATGTTTAGAGAACACTGCACAAATTATCAAATTGCAAGTTGCCAGTTGGGTGACATAAACGTGTGTGTGTGTGTCGGAGATATCATGAGGAGTGCCCAGCTTGACCTCTGGTAAAGGGCACAATGCACGACATCAGTTGGTGTGAGAACCCTCTGGTTAAAAGGTACCTAAGTACCTAGGTAACACAGCAGGTCAGCTTGAGTTTTTTCTCCCCTTCATCAGACCTTACTGTTTGTTGAGCAAGCTCCTCTAACAGCAACGACAACTACAGAAAAACATGAACTGACGCACACATTCTCTACTTGGGTGCCACTCAGATAAAATCTCTCGGCTACAACTTGTGTTTTGCAAAGCTGTCCTGGAAGTCGTGCAGGTACAGAGCAGCCTTGAGCCCACGGCGCTTCGCAAGGACATCATCCTGAGGCCGTCAAAGTACGGAGACGGTGCAGCAGCCTACCAATCGTTGATATAGATCTGAGGCGTATGCCATCTACTACTCAACTGAGGCTTTGAGGAATGAAGATTTCACCGATAAACAAATGCAAACCCAGTAACCACATGCAACCTCTCTTACACTGTTTGCATGGGATGCTGTGGAACCAACGGTTCGACGTGGGGTTCTGTGACGTGCAATGCCCACACCTAAAAGCAGAATAGAAACCCTCTCCAAATGTGAGGATTTATCATGCTTTTGGATGCCAAGGGTGTTCCCTATGATCTCTACATATCTCTCTACTGTACGTGAGGTGGGGCAAACATGTGGAACACATTCTCCATTGACCTCCAACCGGATGGCGCCTCATTTCCGCACACATAATTCCCCTCAAATCTGCACACAGACTTTTTTTATATATTTACCTCAAATGCGCACACATGATTCCCCTCATTTGCGCACACATCGATTACATTCCTCTTTAAACAGCCCATGTTACCCCAAACTCAAATGCGCACACATGATTCGCCTCATTTGCGCACACACCAATTCAGTCATGATGATCTCTTTTTGCTCATTGCTTCGTTTGATTGATGATGTGTTAATAACGTCCCTCTGGACATTCATCTACATGATGATCTCTTTTTGCTCATTGCTTCCACAGGTTCACGTCACACAGACGCTCTGCGTTTGATTGATGATGTTGGGTTGGGATGGGTGGGGGGGGGGTGTTAATAACGTCCCTCTGGACATTCATGCGCATCTAAAGCGATGGACGTAAAATGAGACAACAAGGTTCAGATTGTGAAACAATCTGGTCGGGTTCCATTCATTCATTCATTCATTCATGCATTCATTCATTCATTCATTCCTTCATTCATTTTTTCAGCCGTGTAAGCCGCGTGTACAAACGAGGGAGCCGCGTGTACAAACGAGTTTCGCGTGCAAAAACGAGATCAATTCTCCGCGTGTATATTTGAGGGAAATTCCGCGCGTACAAACGAGGCTCCGCCCCAATGGTTGCCACCCAGTGTCCACCACACGACCTGCATCTCGATAAATCTTCGCCATCAGCCACAATGAGCGGATCCCAATGGCTTGTTGAGGGCAATTGCTCATAGCTGTGGGTTGGTTGGAGTCGGAGGGTCTTCCAATTCAAATACACACTTATTTTATAGTATATGTCTGGAAGTTTAGTAGCATCCTCTGATTCTTCAGTGTTAGTGTTCCTCAAATATATATATATATATATATTAGCAAAATGTGATCCAACGCCTGAAGCCTGTTCAGCATGTCGTTCGAACCGCCGCCTCAAGTCAGGGGG